ATGTGTGTGTGTGTGTTGAACAGTACTGGCCTTTTCCCTACAGAATGTGCTTTTAATAGGCGTGTAGCAATCAAGCCTGGACTAATTCAAATGGCTGCTGTGGAAAACCAATCTGATTTGTTTTAGACATCAGAATCGATTAGAATCAAATAGCCAGATCAGACGATTCATGATGTTAAAAACTCACAGGTCCGTGCCTTTCAATAGAACATCTGAAATATTTATATAGTTCTGCTCTTACCCAGTTGTTTCCTACTATCTGGGGCACATTCAAGCATCTTTGGTCCATAAGAAGAAATGGACAAAAATTTGAACGCCCTGCTGCCTTCTAGAGTTTGCCTTGATTTTGCAGCACACACATACAGCAGTCCAAACGAACATATTTAAAATGATATCAAATGTATTGCAATTTGCAAGAAGAGGTTCATTTTCTAAGAGAAGACATTTTTCTGCAACGAGACAGAATAAAAGAAATCCTGAAGGATCTGTAGAGTCAGCAAACCAGGCAGTGCAAAAATGGCAGTGCCATTTATTCACCTGCATGCTCATTTTCAAATACTCACTTTGGTTTTGTCCGCCCAGATTTAGAAATCCCTAAGTGATGACCATGATAGAAGTTTATGACCATGATGAAAGTTGGTGAAACTCTTGGTTTTTATTTTTTACTTCCAACCAAACTCTTGTGTGTTTGTGTCTGTGTGTGCTTGTTTGTTTATTTGTGTGTGAGAGAGACCAGGAAACACACACAGAGACATATATTTAAAATAGCCATAAATAAGATCCAAGAAATATTATGAAAGGTTACATTTAGCAAAGGTGGAAGAAAAATCAGAAGGGTGAAAACCATATCTCATTCTTCTGCAGGGAAGGTGCTTGCCCTTTTCTTGCGCATGGAAAAAAAATCTCCCTTCAAAGCTAGCTTTTCTGCAGTACTGCGCTCCTGGTTGCGGTGAGTAATATGAACCAGGGCAGAGGGTCTATATCAATCTAGCAAAGCAGAAAAATGAATGAAAATTGAATTCCCGTGGGAGAAAGAGGAGGAGGAGGAGAGAGCTGCGCTTCAGACAGAAAGATAAATCAAAGGATGCTGGGAGGAGAAGAATGATGAACCAGCTCCTTGGCAAAATGGAATAATTAGGGAAACCGGTTGGAAAAGCAAAGGGGGGGGGAGTGGGAGAGAGAGATGGGAAAGGCAGTGATTATCCATTGTCATGGGAGAGGGACACCTTTGCCCAGAAGATCCTTTCAGTTTTGATTTGGACTATATTAAGACCATAGAATGATCATATCTGAACTAACAGCGGAAGGTACAGCATGGCATCTATACTGTTCTCTGTCCCAAACCACTAGAGAAGTGTCTGAAAGTAGAACATTCTCCCTCCAGGTTGCCTGTGCAAGTGGCCAGAGAAATAAGGTGTGTGTATGTGTGTGTAGGTACAAATACAAAAGATACACTTTTATAGTCATTCCTAAGATTCTCTTTTGCGGTTGCATAACTGTTCTAGAAATTTAATTTGCTGGAGAGCTGAGAATATTTTAACTCTACGGGGGGAGGGGGGGGAAGAGTTGCTCCTCACAGCAGAAAGCCTGATAATTCATCTGTCTTTCAATGTTGCTTTTCAGAAGCAGAACAGATCCTAACCTTTTCTTCTTTCCAGGCAGGCCTCAGGTTTAACAAGTCACTAGATTAAATCAGTTTCCAGGGGATAAATCTATCAATGAATATTAGGTAAGACCGTCTGTTTTTCAGAAGCAATACCCTTCTCGATCCTAAGTACTTTTTAAAGTGCCCTGTGTCCACAAGAACTTCTAATTTTGATGTTACCAGCATTCTGAGATAGAAGAAACCCTGATCAACTTGAGCAACACAATTTCATTACATTAGGAATTACATTATACCCATGCCTCCCAAGATAGTTTTAGGGAAGGACCTGATGACACGGTAAGCTAAGCTTTCCTGGTTTTTCTGTTTGTTGGTTTTCTTATCAAAGGAAAACTGTTCAGAAAAGAAAAAGCAAAACAGAAATACTGTAGAAACCTTCCGTGGGAGTACTATATATATAGGACAATACAGAACTGAACCACAAAGGAAAAAGCAATTTCATAGAAGGTGCGCGCCCTGGTTGGGATAACCATTTTCTGTTATTTATCCTGCATTTTCTACTTCAAAGTCACTTCACTTCTAGTTTGTATCCTAATCCTGGCTAGCACAATTTGTCAGTAAGGTTGGTGGCTACACAACCAAAAAAGGCAAAATATAAAGCCAATTTTTTTAAAAAAAACTCCTGATCAAGACAAATATTTTAAAGACATATGCATGAACCACATCATTTTGTGTTCGTAATGCTTCATTCTAAAATGTGTTATCCTTATACTCTTGGAAGAAAAGAATTAACTTTCACATGAACTATGAATTCTTGTATAGTTAAAACCATTTTATTGTATAAAATAAAAACATCACAATAATTGTCTTTTCTTTGAACACAAACACAGTAAAATCTTGAGCAAATATTTTATGAATTTAAATATCTCTCTTCATATATATCCCAACATTGATACTTTAGGTTTCTCTCTGAATGTTTTACTTGGATGCACATTGGCTATTTTTTCCAAGAGACAACATTTCCCCATTTGTACATAAATTCAGTATTTGAAAAAGCTACTTGTCCTTTCCATTCCAAACCCTAAAAAATTGAGTACAGTAAAGCATAACCATGTTTTAAAAAAGTACAGCTTGACAATTGGGAAATGACATACTGTAAAAATGCTTTCAAAAGTTAGGATTTTGGATTCATATGCCCCTTTTTCTGAAATTCTTCCTTCTTAAACTGTAATTAATCTACCCATGTAAAACCTTAATATAAGATCTAATGCAGAGAATAAACGTTTCTTTTAAAGACATCAAAATGTGAAGCTGTCATAGTATTCATTTTCAAGGTAGTAAAAATCTGTCACCTTGATTAGAGCACATCACGGTGTGTGTTATTGAGAAAATTGCTAAGGTCAGTCTCCATTCTATTTATTTAATTTGTATCCCCATCTATTATTTTTACAGATAACTCAAGACACCAAATATATCCAACATATCTTCCTCTTCCTATTTTCCCCACAACAACAACCCAGTGAGGTGGGTTGGGCTGGCCCAAGGTTACCCAGCTGGATTTGTGACTAAGGCGAAATTTGAACTAATGGTATCCTGCTTCCTAGCAATGTATCTTAAGCACTAGAGATAGACAAAACTGCCTCGCCTAGACATATCAAAGATATTCTACAGAGGAGAACATCCATCCCTTTTAAGAGAAGAAACACATCTGAACTGAATGTGCTACAAGACTTTAAACCAGCAGCCTTGGCATATATATTTTTAGGGACTTGAATCACTCATGCTCTACCTTTACCCTTTTATTAATTAAAGCCTGCTGAGATTATAATTTGAGGAAAAAGCCTGCAGCCATTTAGATTTGAGACCAACTTGGGGAGCGGGTAGAGTGTAGGATACAGAAGAACACATCCCTGGTCTAAATTCCTGTTAAGCCATGAAACTCCCTGGGTGACACTGCCGTCATCTCTCAGTCTTCGCATCTTCACATGGCTGGTGTGCGGGCATGGGATTACTTAGCATAATTAGTCTAAAATTCATTAGTGTGCTTGATTATTAGTGTTGCTCATAGATTTCTTTTCCTCCCTGGCCAGTGGCCATTAATTCTCTCTCATCTAAAAAGGCTGCAGCACACCTCATGTCAGCACTGAGAAATAATTTCAGAGAAATTGGTACGGAGATTTGGCAGCTGATGGAATCATTCTAGTTATTTAAAGATGCCTCTTTTGCTTTAAGAGAAACCAGGGACCTATTTCTTGAAAGTCTTCAGTAAAATGATTGATTGCATGATATTGTTTGATAACAAAGTGCTTTTATTTTATTTTCAGTTTGTGGAATACTGCCTTGGTGACTTTATAAAGTGCTTTTATTTTATTTTCAGTTTGTGGAATACTGCCTTGGTGACTTTATCAAATGGAAGTGATATAAAGTATAAATACTAATAATATATAAACCAAGCACCACCACCCCATTGGAAAACCTTGAAGAAAAACATCCTAACAAGGAACATGTGCAAATTAAGCAACAGCAAAGCAGAGGTACAGAAAATGCTGAATCCTATCTATTACGGGGGGGAAAAATACATCTTAAAAATTACATCTCAGTAAGCTGCATATACCATGTTCAGTCCCAACCACCACAGAAAAGATGCCCAGGTCTGAAGCTGCTCCCCTTGGTCTTGACACAGGAAGAAAAATGTCTCATCAACGATACAGGCATTTTTATCAGCTTTTCTTGATACAGCCTCCATCTTTTCTTTGTAAGAAAAGTGCAATTACTTGCTGATAGAAATATGGGGCCCAAACCATCAGGAACTTTCTCTACACCAGCTCCATCAAGCGCCTAAGTTTCGATACAAGAACATTCCTGTATTTCTTTCTAAACTTGATGCTCCTCACTTTAAACAATGTCATCAAGAAAACTTTCAGACATCCAGAATTAGCTGTACATAAGTAAGAATGGCTGTACTTACCAGTGAAAAAAGAAGGTAGGTTTTTCAAGATACGTAGAGGATAATAAGCTAACCTGGAGAAGTGAAACTTGTTTGTAGCATGCCAGACCTGCTGCCTGGCATTTAATTCCCCTTCCCTCTCTGGATGGGCTTGTTTCCTTCAGCAGAAATTATGAAGGCGCAGATTAAAACACTATGGGAGAGACTAGGCCTTAAAAGTGGAGGAGAAGGCAGAAAGAATGAAAGCAGAAGAGGCAAAGGGTGTCAGGTCTCCCTGCAGAGAAGGTGCTGTGATCCTCACGGTGTAGAGTGGAGAAAGTGATTCTGTGTGTGGGTCAGTAGAAGAGAAAGAAGGAGGGGGGTAGAAAACAACCTCTGAGAAAATTAAATTGCACTTGAGGGCAAATTCTATTAGGGAATAGTGACTGTCTCTCAACAGCCTGCATCCATTTAGGTAATTAGTTGCAGGACAGGAATAGCCATCCAGGAGTTGGTCGTGCAGGCCTGGTTTGACTGATCACAGGCCTAGCTTTCTCCTGGCTTCAGGGAGCAGGAGTCCTTGCACACACACGCACACCCAGCCCTCTACGTTACAGAGGAAATCAAATCTGCCCTACTATAAATTATAGGGCCTTAAGCCTAAATTGGTCTCATATGATTATGGGCCCAGGAGCAAGTGTGAGTCATGAGTTCCACACTTAAGTTTAAATTAAACATCTGCATACATTAAATATTAGTGGGATTTTTATGTCTTTCAGATTTTGCTACAGGGATTGGCCATTTGTTAAAATGATCCCTGCAAAATGCTTAACTATGATGCAAATGGCATCACTTCGTCTCTAACCTAATTTATATCCAAGGGCTCCTGCTAGAATTGCCTGGAAATGTCTTGTAAGATTTGTTCTTGTGATCTTTAGCTTCTGCTCTGTGTGGTTGGTTGAAGGTTATCCTATCAAGGTAAAAGAGATCCTGAATGGCACTTGTTTACAGTTCTAGTTACACTATGTTCATATAACATGCATAGCTCAGTTATTGAGTTAACCCATTTTTAGAAAGATTATACAATACCTTGAATTGCAAACTGAGCAAGAAGAATGGATTTACACAACACATTAATACACATGTCCACAATTAAATCAAGTTTTGTAAGTTGAAATGTTCATCCTGCTTTATTTTAACTTGGCATTGATCTTTTCTGCTATTGTAAAATATAACTAGATCTTTCCTGCTCTTTGAGAACCCAACATTTGGATCTTTTTGAAGACTATATGGGATAGGGCAGGGAAATTAAATACTTTAAACTGTATTGATTATTTAGCTTCTCAGTAACTACAATTATACCTTCAGTACTTGATTGATTGGTAGAATACAAATCATAAGATTTTAGAAACTAATTCTGTATTCTTTTAGATTGCAACAAGCCTACTCAACTCCATGATTGCATAGAGAAAATAAGTCATCTCATCGGATGCCAAAAACCCTGGAGTGCAGCTTTATGGATGTTTTGGGGGGAAATGCTGGGGCTGTATTGTTAGTTTCACTGTAATGGTTTTAATCTTCATATCGTCTCTGGGTTGATTTGGAGAATGAATTCAAGGGCAATTTGATAGAATGCCTGAATCAAAAGAGTGATCCAATTTGAATCCTTAATAATTGAAAGTGATGCCTCTGGATCCATTTGTTTTGGCCCAAGTCGTGTGCCACTAGCCCACATGAGCCCAACTATGCCTGAACCAAGTTCAAGCTTATTACATTATTACAGAAGAAAATAGAGGGTCTGGAAGAATATCTGGCCATACTCAGCTTAACTGGAAAAGATGAAGAGTTCCTTGACAAAGTAAAGGAAACAGAAATCCTGAAGAAAAAAATCTGACAGCATATAATTCAGAAGACTAAGAAAACCAAGATACCTTCTCTGTGACTGAAACTCTGTAGCCAAGTCTAGTTCTTCCCCTTGGAAGGTAATTTGCAAGCCCAACGAGGAAAAGGCATGTGGTGGTGATGGGTGACTTGATGCTGAGATGAGCATATTGGATATTAGGGGAAAGGTTGTTGTCTCCCAGGTGTTAAGATCCAGGACATAATGGAGACCTGATGAAACAAACATACTGACCACCCCTTTTTCAAGTTTCATCTTGGAATAAATGACACTTCCAGAAATAACCTGGAAAAAATATCAAGGGAGTACAAAGAACTAGGCAGGAGACAAAAGAGTTGGAACAGCACAGGTGGTGTTTTTGTCTACAATTCTGAATAGAGGAAGGAAAGTACAGAAGATTCTGGAAGTGAACCACTGGCTCAAGAAACAATATTATTAAGAAAATACTGGATTCCTGGAGAATCAGAGACTCTATTGGGAGATAGACTGTCCCTCACAAAGTCTGTGAAGAACATATTTGGAAGATTATATTCCCCATATACTTTGGTAGGTTTTAACTTAAATCTGGAGCGGAGGGGGGGGGGATCATGAATACATAGCACCTCTCTCAAAGAATAAACTCCAAGGCAGTAAACATTACGACAGGGAACGTTGTTAAGTTTGAAGAATAAGGAGACCAGACATCTGACCAGTGACTTCAACTCTTTAATAATAACAGGAATAGGAATAGAACAGAACAACTCTATGGGCAGCAGTAACCCTTTTATAGGGTTGGCTGCTACCCTATTAACCAATAACCTTTGTGATAAGTTCAAATAATAATAACCAATAAGGAGTGGCCTCATCCTGACCAATCCCTGTTCGTTGTTTGAGGACCAATCAGGTGTGCAGGCCTTCAAACCCTACTTTGCATTTTATGCTAGTTACTTTATTGATTCATAACACCCCTCCCCCTTGGGCTCCGTTTGAGGGGAGCTGTAACAAAATCCTCAAGGTAGACAGGCCGTTTGGTCTGTCTAGATGATTTTCGTGGCTCCACCGGGTTTTGCCCAAAGTCCGGTTCCGGTGGAGCTTTTGGATAGTCTCTATTTTGTTCCTTTTCGCTGCACGGTGCTTCTGTGCTGCTTCCGTTGAGGTTGTTTCTACTAACTAATGGTTCTTCGGGGTTTTGCAGTTCGGATTCCCCCAAGTTCAAGTCCCCAGGAGAATTCAACTCCCTCCCCGTTTCATTTGCCGGTCCTTCCCTGGGCCGAAAGGTATCCGTTGGCCTGCAATCCGTCATATCGAAGTCAATTTCCTCGATATTTCCTCCCCCCTCAGTTTGGGAACCCGGGGATCCATGGCCGCTGGGTGGCAATCTCGAACGGAGCTGGTCTATGTGGCGTTTCCACACCCTCCCATCTTCTGTTAGTAGGCGGTAAGATCTGGGCCCTGTGAGGTGGGTGACGGTTGCGGGTATCCACAAAGGGTCGCCGGAAAAGTTTTTTGCAAAGATTAGATCGCCTACCTTAAATTCCCGGCATTTGCTGCTGGAGCCGAAAGGTTTTTCGGGTGCGTATGCGGGGTGGAGCCGGTCAAGGTGCGATCGGAGTTTCCGCCCCATGAGAAGTTCAGCGGGTGTTTTGTTGGTGACGCTGTGGGGCGTAATATGCTGCAACAATAAAATCCGATTGATTTTTTCATCGATGTCGCCGAATTCCATTTTGTGGAGGGTTTTTTTTACAAACTGTACCATGCATTCTGCACGTCCGTTTGCCGCAGGGAGCGCAGGCGAGGTCAGCGTATGGCGGATACCCCGATCAGCCAGATACTGTTCAAAGTGTAATGCAGTGAACTGAGGGCCGTTGTCCGAGACCAAAACGTCCGGGAACCCATGTGTGGCAAATAGTCTATTTAATCTGCTGATAACTGAGTCTGTTGTAGTTGTATTCATCTGATGGATCTCGAGCCAATTCGAGTAGGCGTCAACTGTAATAAGGAAGGTGTGTCCCTTTGTAGGCCCCGCAAAGTCAATGTGAATACGGGACCACGGTCCCCTTGGGGTTTCCCATTCGGTTGGGCTTGCTTTAGGTGGGGCATTACTGACGTCTTGGCAACGTTGACAAGTAGCGACCCAGGCCTCGATTTTCTTGTCGATTCCCGGCCACCAGGCATAGCTTCGTGCGAGTGCTTTCATCCGTACTATGCCCGGATGTCCGTCGTGTAATACCGCTAACACAGTTCGTTGCAGTTTGTTCAGAATTATAACTCTATCTCCCCACAAGATGCAGCCCTTTTGGGAAAATAGTTCAGTTTGGCGGGCTTTAAAGGGCGCCCATTCTGGTGATAGTTGTTCTGTTGACCACCCACGCTCAACCCAGCGTAGGATGTGTTGCAGGACCGGATCTCGTTTTGTTTCGAGGGCAATGTCCCTCGCAGTTAATGGCGGCGCGTGCAGGGCCTCAATTTGTAGCGTTGTAATGGTCGGTGCTGGATCTTCAACCGAATCTGGGAGTGGTGCTCTGCTCAATGCATCAGCGTGGAGAATTGCTTTTCCTGGGCTGTGTTGCAAGGTGTAGTTGTACGCCGCTAAGAATTCAGACCAACGAGTCATTCTGGGGGACAATATATACGGGGTTGGTTTATTTCCCGCAATAATCCCCAATAGTGGTTTATGATCAGTAATTATGGTAAATGCACGCCCATACACATATTCATGGAATCTTTTAACTGCAGCCACAATAGCTAAAGCTTCTTTATCCAGCTGACTATAATTCCTTTCAGCTTTAGCTAGAGTTCGTGAGAAAAATGCGACGGGAGCCTCTGCTCCGTTTGGCAATACGTGGGCCAGGATTGCTCCAACGCCAAACGGCGAGGCGTCGCAAGTAATAGTCAATGGCAGAGTTTCGTTGTACTGCATAAGTACAGAATCAGAAGTTAGCAGTTTTTTAACTTGCTGGAAGGCGTTTTGTTCCCGTTGCCCCCAAACCCACGTTGCTTTTTTGTCTAAAAGTCTATGCAGTGGTTCAGCTACCGTTGCTTTATTTGGTAGAAATACATTATAGAAATTGATAAGTCCAAGGAACGCCTGAAGGTCTGCCTTGTTCCTTGGAGTGGGGGCCCTCTTAATTGCCTTCAATTTGTCCTGAGTGGGATGGATCCCTTGGCTATCCAGGAGGTATCCCAGAAACTCTACCCTTTCCGTGCATAAGTGGCATTTATTTCTTTTTACTTTGAGGCCGGCGTCTTGGAACCTTTGTAAGACCATTCGGAGTCGTTTTTCTAGAATGTCTCTGTTAGGGGCGGCGATGAGTACATCGTCGAAATACGGTACGACCCCTCTTATTCCTTGCAACAGTCTCTCCATTAAACTCTGAAAGATCCCGGGAGCGACACTCACCCCAAACTGGAGTCGGTTGCATTTAAACGCACCCCTATGGGTGACGATAGTTTGCGCTTCGGCGGTGGCAGGGTCTACAGGCAATTGCTGATATGCCTGCGCTAGATCTAATTTAGCGAAAAAAATTTCGCCCCCCCAAGGAATGGAGCAGGTGCTGCACTACTGGCACTGGATATGCACTTTGCTGAAGTGCGTGGTTAAGG